CGACACCCCTCCCAGCCAGCCCTGCTTCCCTTTCCCCCCTCCTCCTTCCAGCCAGCCCCGCTCCCCTCCCGACCGGTCCCTCTGCCCACCCCCTCCACCTGATCAAGTGTGTCCGGTATTTTTCTGAAGCTACCTGGTAACCCTAAGTTATTCCCAGGAAGGAGAAAACTTGATCTAGCAAACACAGAGAAGGGGAGAGCCAGAGATATAAGCAAGGCTCAGGAGAAAAGCAGCAAAGCATGGGATAGTGCCAATCTTGTCTGCTGAAGCGAGGACTCTGGAGCTAAAATCCCAAGCAGAGAGTGGTCTGGATTCCCCTGTAAGCCACTGGGGAAGTGACACAGACCACAAAGGTGGTCAAAGTGGGAAAGTCACAAAGCTGGCCTAAGTGAGGGAATCATAGCTCCAGTTGCACCCTCCTCATGCAGGAGTGGGGAATAGCAGATCCAGCAGCCAAGCTCCATTTGCCAGGGGAGGCCCTGGAGATAGATTTGACCTGCCCCCAGAGTAGGGTTGCCAGATGGTTGAAACAAAATACCAAACACCCCTTCCCCCCCAAAATGGGAAAAAATTCTGTTGAAGGAAAAAAAGGGGGGGGGGCAAAGTTGTTGAGCAAAAAAAATAAAATAAAATAAAACAGCTTTAAAACAGCATGTCCCTTTTAAGAGTGAGTGTAGGGATAGGAACAGGGAGAAGTTGAGCACTAAGACCCAGGGGTCAGCAGCCATTTTGTGTCTGCAGCCTTGCGGAACCAGGTAAGCATGGGGTCTGGGATCGGGGGGCTAGGGGTGTGGAGGGCCAGGGGTGGCTCAGGCTGGGTGGGGGTGGAGGCCGTGCGCTGAGTGTTTGTAGGGTTGCCAGGTGCCCGGCATTTTTGCCTCCTGCCCGGGGAAAAAAATCAGAAAATACCGGACATTTTAGGTGTCCGGTATTCTCTGAAATTTTTTACTGAGCATGAGTCGAAAATACCGGACTGTCCGGGTGAATACTGGACACCTAGCAACCATACACCCAGAGTGACCTTGCAGGGGAAAAGGAAGTCTTTGTTCTTTCTCATCCTCTACCAGGACTGTAGCCCTATGCAAGGTAGCTGCACACTATATTTCATGGGGGAGATCAGATTTCATGATTGTGACACATTTTTTATGGCCATTAATTTGGGAAGGCCTTACTAATGTGAAAAAAATCTATAATTTCTTGAAGCATATAGTACATTTAACGAATGCTCGCATTATGAACAGACTCCTATTTTGCAAGTGGACAGAGTAACATTTACATGTTTTAAGTTCCACCACTGTATTTAAGTATATTAGCAAACACAATTAATTGCATTAAAAATTAACTGTACTCCAAAAATGGAATCAGCTAAGGGTCCTTTATAACACTGATACTCAGGGTATATCTATACTGCAAAAAAAGAAGTGTGTTTTTACCTCTAGTTAATCAACTTGATTTAAAATAGTAGTGAAGAAATAGCAACTTGGATTAGTAGTGCAAATTTAACTTCAGGCTCCTTTAGAAGATTTAATTCCAACTACTAACCCAAACTTAAAAAAACAAGATACCACATTTTCACTGCTGTTTTAATTAGCTAACATGTTAAGAACACATCTTTTTTTATTTTTATTTTTTGTGAGGACTATATAGACATAACCTAAAAGAAAAAAAGTATATTGAAGCTCCTACTATGTCCTAATTTCCAGATCTAAAACTGGAAGAATAAAATAAAATGTAATGAAGTGGTGTATAGATGCCTTCCTCTAAAAATTGTGTTTTGCTATGTTCATGCATATGTTGAGCACATGAACTATGCTAGGATTAACCACTTTTAGACCAATATAAATCTAAATTATTATAAGCCATTTTTAAAGCTTTATGTTTTATAGAATCTTACCAACTAAAACAAAATGAATTGGATATTAAGTGTATATTTTTGTGATAATCTAGCGATAAAGGTATTATTTTTTATTTCAATAAGCAGTAGTATGTTAAAACTAAAATGTGTTCCAAAAAACAATCAAATTCTGAACACCATAAAAAGGCATGTGATACATGAAAGCATTTTTGCTGCAAGAGATTCCTGTTATTCTTTATGGCATAGTTATGTTTCAAAATGATAGGAGCAAGACCTAAAATGTTTAAAGTCACAGAACTAGTAAAAATCTAAATAATATTTTTTTCATGATGTAATTGTTGATAAATATATTTATTCTCTTTTCCATTAATTACTGAACTGAGTGATATATAACAACATAATGAATTTTCCCTTTAACCTTTTGCAACTATTTGCTCTCATGTTATTTGTCCAATTAAAGTAGTCTTCACGACTTAGGGTCCAGCCTTTCCTCAGAATCTGTTCTTTGAAATTACACATGAATATCAGGAAAATCATTTCCATGTCAAGAAATATGAGCATAATTTCAGCTATGGACCATGTAATTAGAAATTATAAAAAATGATCAAATACATCTTAACTAAGCAGTTTAATTCTTTTTCTATTTGCTAAAACATTTGGGATATTCAAAGTAAAGAATTATTCCATTCAATCTTCTTCGAAATGTTCCTGGAATGTTTGCAAATAACATTTAAAAGCTTAGCACTATAAGATGTTAAATGTCTTCAGTGTACCTTGTATACCTGGAGTAGCACATCAGTCCACACGCGTTTGCTCAAGATCTCGAATGCATTGTCATCCAAAACAAGCAGACTCTTAGTGTTAAGAATGTCAGAGTTCTTCATACTAGTTTTTTGCATCTCAGTCATCTGAACCTTCAGATAAAAGACAATGAGATCTACTCTTTAACTTAAAATATGACATATACAGTATAGAGCATAATAACTCTGAGCAACAGCCAGTACTGGCTTTTAAAAGTTTGTCAGGTTAATAATTGCTTTTTCTGATGGAATTACATATTTAGTGTATAAAGAAAAAGCAGTAAATGCAGTATATTAGAAATTTACCCCAAAGTATATAATGGTATCTCTCACAGAATCTTAGTCACAAAATAGCTTTCTATGGTGAGAATGTCATGATTATGAGGGTTAGCCAGCAGCCTGGGGATTAAGGGGTTAACTACACCTAGCCAGGTGGAGTGACCAATAAGAATGTAGGTGGGACTTTTCAAACTGGGACAAAGGAATTTGGGTTTTTTTCTCTTCTCCCTTTTGTCTCTCAGAGAGTTCTCTGCTACTACAGAGAGGGACAAGCATGTCTCTCTCTCTCCAAGACACCATTCTTCATTTTCTGTAAGTAGGGTAAAGTTTAGGCAGTTTCGTTAGGTTTTATTGTTTTAAGGATTGGGTATGGGATCTGAGATCTGGCACTGTTTAAAAGATGTTTTGGCTTTTCTTTGTAACTAAGTTCTAGGCCCATGGAGTTTCTCCATGAGTATATTTTGTTACCTCCCTATCTAGTCATTATGTTTGCAACAGGAATATTGTTGTAATAATAAAGGTTCTTTCTTTTCTTTTTATTAACCTGGCAGTGGTTAATTGTGTGCCTTGATTTTTATTTTAGGGGTAAGATTTCCCAAATGATCTTTCCCCTGATTTCTTTATCAACATTTGGGTGGTGGCAGCGGAAGTTTTATTCCCAAGATCTAGGTTTTTAAGATCTTGGGGGGAAGTTTTATACCAAAGCCTGGTAGATAAGGCTTTGGGGTACACTTGCTGGCCCCCACTTCTGCATTTATCATGCCAGAGTGGGGAAGGAGCCATGACAGAGAACACTATGGATTGAAAACTCACTGGAGAACCATAAGCAAAGCACGATGATAAATGACACTGCACATCCAATGTACTTCCACACTGATAAGTGTTAGGACCATTAAACCTCTTTATTAAAGTTCTGAAATGGGAAATAAATAGCACAGAACTGCAAATACCAGTGAGTATAGGACAAGTAATACAAAGGTACCCAGAAGTGCTAAAAACATAGCTAAAAATGAATGTATGATTTAACCCGAACAAAATAAAAACTAACAGATTTGGGAGGAAATAATCATACATATAGATATTAAATGGAAGGGAGAAATATGAAAAGTAGCAATGCTGACAGAGACTTAGGTGTACCAGTTACTGCCTGTTTAATTGTTAATATATCAGCAAAAAAGTCACTACAAGTTTAATGAGATTTAAATATGGCCATGATCTCTGCTGGGTTCCTTGGATTTTTTTTTCCTTTTTTGGGTGGAGTAGGTGGGAAGGGGAAGTGCTATAGCTCATCATCTGGTATTTGAGGTACTGAAATGAACCATCACTCACAGTAAATTATGCAGATCTGTGATCTTCTCTCTCCTTTCTATGTGACAGATCAAACAGATAACAATGCTGACATTTAAGTCATCATAATTGGACATCTGTATAATCACTTCACTGAGATGAATGGGGCAGGTCACTCCTTGCAGGGTCATTGTTCCAGGCTCTCTGCAGATTTATCGCTGCATCACTAAACTGTTCATATTTTTGAAATTGCCTTTGCAACAATTGTATCTAAAGACTTTTTTGTTTTAAAATTAATTATGAGATTTGGAGAACAAGACAGCAGATTCAGAGAGGAGCCTGAATGGCATATGGATATGTACTGTTTCTGAACCTTGATTAGAAAGATGTAAAGATAAAGAAGCTAATTAGTTAGGCGACTTATGGAAATTTGAGTAGGAGCAATTGAATAAAATTAAGGGAAAGAAAATTTAGACTAAATACCAAGAAAAACTTCCTGACATTGAGATTTTTTAAGACTGTTTCAGGTTCTTAAAGGAAGTGGCAGAAGCCTCATCACTTGGGATATTTAAATCTAAGGGGGACAAAATGTACGTTGCTCATATTGCTGTGGCTGTGCATAGACGGGTGGCCTTTGTCTCAGATAGGGAGCATACTTCTTGCGGCAATATGGTGGCGTATACATGCCTAAAGTTCTCAAGGTGGTATATGAGTTCTTGCCAGAGTGAAGTAGTTGGTCCGTCTTCTCGGCAAATAAGCCCTTTTTGTCGAATGACAAGTCCTCTGCCTTAGATTGAAGTTCCCTGGGAACTGCCGACATATGAAGCCACGAGGCCCTGCGCATAACAACTGATGTTGCTGACGTCCTAGCTGCAGCATCCACCGTGTCGAGGGCTATGTTCAGCGCTGAGCGGGATACTGTATAGCCCTCCTGGATAATGGCCTTAAGCAGCTGGCGCTTTGTGTCCGGCAGGTGTTCAAGTATCTGGACCAACTTTGCGTAGTTGTCAAAGTTGTGGTTGGCCAGCAGCGCAGAGTAATTGGCCATGCGGAGGATGGATGTGGCTGAAGTATATACGTTCCGTCCCAGTATATCCAGGCGCTTGTTATCTCTGTCGCCAGTTCATGGTTTATACTGTGAGCCTTTTGTGCTCTGTTACACTGCATCCACAATCAACGAGTTTGGCTGGGGATGAGTAAACAGGTATTCCATCCCCGTGGCAGGCACATATTTCTTATCGGCTTTTTTGTTCGTTGGTGGAGCTGTGGCAGGGCTCTGCCAGATGGCATTGGCAATGTCAAATATAGCCTCATCCAGAGGCAGTACAGCCTTGGAAGCATGTGAGGCAGGATGGAGGTTGCGCAACAGATGGTGTTGTTTCTGCTGGACCTCTGTTAGTTTTAAATTTTGAGTGTCTGCTATTCTGCGAAAAAGGTCTTGAAACTCTTTAAGATCATCGGAGGGTGACGCGTCTCCAGTAAGTATGGCGTCATCTGGGGAGGAGGAAGCGGCGTCCGTGGGGGAGGGTTGATGTGGTGCCTCTACCTCCATGACCTTTGGTGGGTCAGTGATGGGTTGTCCTGTGGAAGTAAGATCGCCGGACGGAGTAAGTGGTCTGGCTGTCGCCGGGGTGGATGACCTACTTCTGGCATGAGTGAACCGTGATGGAGTTGGTGACGATGAAGAGTGGATTGATCATGAATAATGATGCCTATGGTCATGGTGTGTGCATCAATGGTCATCATACTGGGAACGGTATGAATGGCTGTGGTCATCCCTGTAGCTGCGTGAATAGGAGGGAGACCTCGGGAACCTAGATCTGCGATGAGAGCAGCAGGGAGATGGCAATTGGTACCAGCTGTGATAATGGTGTTGTGATGGGGAGACGCTGTATCTGGACCTCTAATGATAGCGAGTTGGAGGCGGAGGCTCCGGGGAGAAAGCTGTTATACCTGGGCTTATGGGTGGACAAGCGCCCACGGAAGACGGTGACACTTGCATCAAAGGTAATGGTGAAGATGCACTTGGTGTTGAAATCCTGTGGGAGTATGTAGGAGAGCGTCTGAATGGTGCCGTGGGTTCTGGTGCCGCGTGCGAGGGAACTGCTGGTCGAGACATCGGTGCCGATGACATGGTCTGTGTCGGTGCCGGCGGTGCCTGTACTGGAGCGTCAGTGGGCTCCGTTGGCTCTCTCTGTGCCGGCGTCGGTGCCGAAGAACTGGGCATGGGGCACGGCATTGTGGTTTCTCTCAGTGCTGGATGCAGTGCCGGGAGCTCCCATGCCGGCTTCGGTACTGAAAGCGGCTTCGGTGCCGTCTTAGATTTCGGCGCCATGTGCACCATTGAGCTCGTTGCTGATATACTTCTCACCGGCTTATCCTTGTGAGGTTTTCGAGCCACTGTTTTATAGGACAAACCCGGTTTATCTTTGGAGCTAGCAATCGCAGCTGGTAGGGAGCAAGATGGGGAACGGCTTCTATGGGGTGTTGATGCCACAGGGGAAGGCTGCCGAGATGGGGACTGCGGGGGTGCCGGTTGTTCTGTGGCTTCTGTCTGCGGATAGAGCGCCTTATCAAATAACAACATTTTAAGGCACATCTCCCCGTCATGCCGAGCTCTTGCTGTCAGCTTGGAACAATGCTGACATTTTTGGGAAATATGAGATTCCCCAAGGCATTTAATGCATGAAGAGTGCCCGTCTGAGGTGGCATCGAATCCCTGCAGTTCAGGCACTTTTTGAAGCCCTGTGAGCCGGGCATGGTTGAAGAAAAAAAATTTTTTTTTTTAACTAACTAACTAACTAACTAAGACTAATGAACTATAAAGACTAAAATTGGCTAAAATTGTGAAACTATATACAACTCTCTTCTCTCTCAGTCCTGACAGGATCATCGCAAGAGGGAGCAATTTCTCCATCTGCTCCTGAAGACGGTCAGAAGGAACTGGCGGGGCCAGACCGCGTGAGCAGAAACGGCACAAAAAGCTGCAAGATGGCCACCGCACATGCGCGGTCCGGCGGACAACAGCTGAAACATCTCCAAACTGCGGCACCGGGAGAAGCCCGACACCCACAGTGGAGCACCCACGGGGACACTACCCGAAGAAGAATATTCAGAATTATAACAGTAAATATTGAAAAAACATAAATGTTTAAAGAGACATAAAACCTTGTGTTTTACATCTTAAGACTAGCTTTAATTATTGGGAACCAGAATTAAACTTTTCCTAAGAGTAGGTCATCCTGTAATTGCCTATTGCATGGTTTATAGCAAATTCCTCTCAAAGACTAGAAATTAGTTACTATGAATAAAAGAATATTAGACTAGAATGATCACTAGTCTGATTCAGTATGATAATTCCTATGTTACTATTTCTTTTCTAAAAGAAATGTTTTTAAAAAAATCTACTCTTAAATAGTTTTTAGATAGCTCAAACTCCTACATGTGCATGTGAGACCAACTGCACTAAATATCAGAATACA